AACCGCATTAGCTGTAGTTATGATCCTTTACATATCTTGTGAAGGTACTAATGCTTGTCATGCTAATTGGGGCTGAGTTATGTGTGAAAAGTATGCCCTGATAGGCTTGCAACGGCATGAGCCAAATACATTTATGGTTTCTTCATCAAGAAGGGAGTTTAAAGCGACATGGACATGGTGGACAAAGTAGTTTATAGGTATAGTGATTCTCACTGCTAGTAAAGCATGCAACTCCGATTCGTTTAGATGAGAGGAGCTCTCCAAAGCATACATATGTTTAACATAATTAACCCCTTGTATGTTGTATAGGTGCGTTAGCTAGAGGTTATTCATGCATATTATGGAGTAGATGTTCAACAGTCTTTTTCATTAAGTACTAACGTTTTGTGCCATAAAGTTGTTCTTCTTTCGAAAATTTGATCCATCATGATTTACTAATAACCGGTAGGATATTATGCTGGCATTATGTAGCTTCTCATTTCAGTAGGCATCGCCATCTGTTTTAAATGTATTTGTTATTTGCTTTACCACGTTATAAGACTCTTGTGTTATGAACTGACTCTGAGATATTTGTTATTTCCCAGGTGGACACCGTATGGAAATACTAAGTGCATAATATGCAAACAACAAGTGCACCAGGATGCAAAATATTGTCATACTTGTGCATACTCTAAAGGTAAGGGATCCGATGATTTTAGTTTGATGGGTTCTCTTCAGGATGAATCCATCTCATAGTTTTGTATCCAAGACATCCATCCACATGCACTAGAATTCACAAGCTTTAGTTTCTTGTGCATGTAGTCTAGATTGAGTAATCAATCTCATTATCAGACAAAAAGCTTTCATGAGTTGATGATCTTCACCATACCTTTTATCTTGTAACAAATCAATCTTGGAGTTCTTTGTTTAACTTCATCCTTTTTTTTTATTCAGGTGTGTGTGCAATGTGTGGGAAGCAAGTTCTGGATACGAAGTTGTACAAGCAAAGTAATGTATGATGCTATATCATTCCTAGCAACACAATGTTCATGATTTTCCAGGCTTTCTAATATGCAAACCATTGTTGAATTTGCTTCTGGCAAAGATGACGTAGAAACTGTTGAATGGGTGTCGATCTTTACCTGTCCACCAAAACGGGCATTGAGATGATTTGAGCACCAGATATTTCTTGTTAGCTTTGCGGGCACGATTAGCTTCAGTGAGTTGGCTTGGCATTTTAGGTTCTTGAATCATAACTAGTTGTTATTACTGATGGTGTTTACTGTCTCATTTTGAGGATTGTGTTAATCTTTATTGCAACACTTGCAATCATATGGCTCATGCCATTGTAAGTCTCCAAACATCTGCATCTGCAATTATTACTTGCGGTATTTGCTTTTACCTGCAGCGATCTCTGCATACAAGCATTTCTAATCGCAAGCAACCCAAACATCTTCCAAGTCAATACTACCCATCGAGTAACATTCATAAATAAAATGCGAAACAATAAAGTGTATATCATATAATCTAACATATTAAATAAACCTCCTTTGGTATTCCAGCTTAGTCACTACATTACAAAGATTATTAGACCCAGAAAAGTCGACCAACTCGATTCTTCAGAGAAGCCAGCGATGGAATGTCGTTACTCTTTTGCAGGAAAGGCTGGTGCATCACCCAAGAGGAAAAAGAATTAGATCATACTCGAACCTTATTATTAGCCAATTAACATCAAACTGGCTTGGCATAGAAGTTAAATATGATTGGAAAAGTAAAGGAGAGACATTGAGCACACCAATATTTTACTTCCAAACCAAAATTAAATAAGACACCTGGGAACAAAAGAAGCATAACAGAAAAGAGAAAAAAGAAACGGGTTTCCAATTCCAATTCCTCATGACTGAACAGCCAGCCTCTGAAGATGCTCGCAGAAAACTCGAAGGCTGACATCATCGGTAAAGATGACATCACTCCCCGGAACTACCTCCTGGGCAGAGTTATATGTGGCTGATGGGTTCAACTTGGCCAATAAAAATCTTGCCTGCAGAGGAAACAAAGCCAATTCAGTCATCAGCCTCGGTACACTTAACAAAATAGGTCTCCCTAAATTTGCTAGACCACACCATCATGGGATTTGTTTATATTAGGTTGATAATGTCAGCTTATTTAACACCATTGACAAGGTATCACACTCATTGTAGACATCATGTGGCAATTCCTTCGACTAAGGTATAAGCAATTAAGGTCTTGCAATACCAAGTTAAGGACAGCTAAAACTTATACGGACCTGGGAACCATGCTGATCGCAGATAACTAATCTGGGAACAGGGAACCGCTCTCTGATAATCATTTGAGCATCATCGTTCGGTGCTTGTAATAGCAGAGCAAAGGCCTGTAAACGACAGAAAAATACAAAAATTCATCAATAAACTATTTATCTGATAAAATGACCTTAATGAAGAAGAGATATTCCATAAAACCTAGATGCTTGTAAAAGGAAATCAATCTGGGAGCTTGTTATAGTTTTGCCTTTGCCGGTGCAAGTGGCACCTTCAACATCAAAACCTACCTCGTTCATGCTAAACAATCATTTTTCAATATGTTAAAAAATCTTTGTTACTAGGTCTTCATGGCATAAGAATAGCACCAGCATAATCACTCAGCAGTTGTCTTGTAATTTCTGAGAGGATACCATAGCTGAGAATAAGCACTTTCCAGTCGAAGCAGGGTGAACAACCATTAACAGCTCAAGGTTCTTGATTTTGTAAACAAGGTGATGTACAAAAAACATTAGATACAAGAGAAAATTACAACAAATAGACCTGTTGTGGACTCACAGGTGGGACAGACTTCTTGATGGGAAAATATTGGACGTGGACGATCATCACAGTAAATTGCTATGATAGCTCAAACAGTTTACCAAAAAAATTAAGCTTCAGTTCTTTGGAGGCTTCGCATAATCAAAAACATTGTATGGATTGTGCTAGAAGAAATGGATAATTTGTACTCTTGCTGACACATTCAAACATATAGATGTGGCATAATGCAGATAAAGGACTTTATCACAGGCTAAGAGAGCAATCTAATGATGAACAACCGAGTCTTATCATATTGCCATGATTATCAAATGACAGTTCAGTTTCAGATGGCAGCAGCACTAAGATCAATAATGAAGTCAGATGATAATGTTTAATGCTTTGCTGGAAAGTAGCAGGTTATGGACATTTCTCTGGAAAATAACAGGTCAAACACTGTCCATATTGTGCTGCTAATTTTTTTTGTTTGATGCCGCAAGGGTTGAGAAAATTCCCACATAAGAATTACAGATATGGAACTAAAGTTGACCTAATAAATTACACATAAGTAAAACTAATGCACTAAAACATCTGAGAAATCAATCTCTGAGGAGAACGTCAATGAGTAATCAACATGATAATTCCATAGAATTACCTGATGCTCTGGCTGATTCTGGTAGCCCATATTGCGCCACTGAGCAATGGTCATACCATGAAAAATTACAATGCTGAAATAAGAATCGAGCAATAGAATACGGTCTGCAGATATAGATGCAACATCTAACAGTGCAGGAGTAGGAGGCGAATTAAAAGAATAAGAAATCAGTGAAGGCTGGATCATGACAACAGAATTGGAGACACTCTCTCGATTCAACAACATACGGAAATATGCAGTCTCATCAGGGCTATTGTTAAAAACCTGTGGCAAAACAATGTAAAATAAGTTTAAGATAACTGTATAATACAGTAAAATTTACCTCTGATGACCATGCAATATAGTACCTGAACAAACTGCGAACGCCGTAAATTAAAGATGAACTGTGGTAGTATTGAGAAATTCGGATGTAGTGTAAATGATGAAGGGTCATCTTTTCTGTAATTACCAAACCGTGAGCAGAGACGGATAAGAGATCTATCCAACCATCGTGTTGCATCAAACTCTTCCTGAAAAGAGAGCTTATTGTTATGAAATAAAACAAACGCAGAATGCTGATGTAAAGTTTTTAATATTCAGAATCTATTATCTCAAAACATGTATGCTAAATTTGTTACTTAACTTGAACAATATAATCTAACTTGCACATAACTAGAGAAAGTAGGAAAAGAAACTTCATCACAACAATCTGGCAACAGACGGTTTTACATATAACATTTGTTAATGCACACAGAAATCACAACAAAATAAATGTCAAGCAAGAATATAAACTTCACCAACTATGATTACAATAAATCAAGGATTTTGGCAAGTGATCTTAACACTGAAACTTCGATCGCACTTAAGTCGTGCTTACCTCCATCTCCATTTTCAAGGAGATATATCTTGCTAAAACAACAGCTGCAGTTTCCTGGTCAAACCCTTCAACTAATTCCTGCACAAGCAGTACCATTCTAGATAAGAAATTAAGTGTAATCATGCTCTTTTAAGCCATAATCAACAGCAAAAAATTGTTAAACAAAAGAAGCAAATTTTCACATTACCTGTGGAACTGAAACTGACTGAATTCAAGAGAAAGATAATCAAGTAACATTGACCTAAACCTACTATATCAGGAACAAGTTTAATCTAGCATGCATATTTCAATATAACCTGACTATCCAAAGGCAAACCCAATAGCCAATCATGGTGCACCGAATTGATACTGCACTATCCTGGTGCAGATACAGTGGCATGACATAGTAGTGTGCAGAACCTTGAAGTCTGTACTATGGTTCGCCTTACTGGTCCGTACCGATATACCGACCGGCTATCAGTATGGTATTTACATAACCATATCGATGTACTGACACGTTGTATAATGGGGCATACCGACAAACTAGTATGTCCCGCCTATACCATTCTTCCATCGGACCAGTATGTACCACCCATACCGGATGATATACTATGATACAATGAACCTTGGTTTGTACTTTGTTCCACATGTTTTTGTCCTAACCAGTGTGGTCAGTTCCATAATTGCAGATGTGAACTAACACAAATTAAACATCCATCCCTGTCATACATACGGTTTCTTGTGCATGACCTGGACATTTAACATACGAGGGTATCTGAAGTGAAAAGAGAAAACATGAGGACCACAGAAAGGCCCAAGATACCATAGATAAAAAGCAAAGAAGTAGGTACCCATGAGTAGCCTAGGGGTAGTCAAAGGTCCAAAATTGCACAACAGACACATACAATTCAACAAAAGTTCAAAGAAATGACAATTTTAAGAAAAGGAAATAAATGACAACCATAATCCTTGGAGGCTAAATTGGCCAACCTAAGGCATGAAACAAAATACTGCATGAAGCAACATTAAGGAAACAGAATAGCCCAGGCAGGCCTGAGACTCATGAAGTTCACTTATTTTGTTAGCTGAAAAATTTGCAATTAACGTTGCAAGAGTAAAATGTCAAGTCCACCTTTGGATCGAACCTCAATGCATTATGTGCAGCCACATACCAAACTGCATGACAAAGGTCCTCATTTATGATGAATTATTTGCTCGCTTGACTATATTTGGAGGACAAATTTAAAAGAAATAAACAAATTATTACCTCACATAACCTAACTGCCCAAAATGCTAACAGAAACTTACCTCTCATAGCAAACTTCTTATCAGAAACAAAATGCAAAAAATTGTTAGGTATATCAAATTTGCTTGCAACATAGTTCCGCATATCAGCATGCTAAGTTTGCGAAGGTTAAGGAAGAATTATATTTTGTTGGTAGGAAAGACATCAGAGCTGTTCCTAAAACTAACTTCAGTTTAGTTTCTAAATATTGAAAACATGAGAAATTTGATATCAAACCAATCCTAGACTCAGACTTGTAACTCATGCATCTCTATATGTGAAGCTGAATGTAAAAAGTGAAAATCAGAACAAATGCATATTGCAAACTGTAGCATTTTCTCATAATAATGGTATTTTGGTGGCACTTGGAGTATATTTCTCCATTTTATCAATCTAGGATGACCTGATCCATCTTTCTTCTTATAATTTATTAGCGACACCCTATGTTTAGTCCCACATTGGAAATTGGACGAGATTTAAAATAGTGTTATAAAGGGTCAGATGGATACACTGTTATTAATTTGGCTTAAGCATTTTGGTCCAATGATTCAACTTCAACAAGTTAGTTATCTCATTAGGAGAAGTCATGTAAATGGTATTAAGACCAATCTAATTTTGGGCATAGTGATGGCCTAATCGGACTACTCATGGACGAACCTAGAGACACACTACATCATGGAGCCACCGCTAGTTAGGCTCATATGCACCATTTAGTTTTGGACTATGTTAGTCCTTGATGAGGATATAAATCCAAAAAGGGAGAGATCACGATGGGAGAATATTTAAGTAAA